GGATGGATGGATGGATGGATGGAAGGATGGATGGATGGAAGGAATACGATACTAACCTTGTCGCTTCATCTAGAATAAGAATAGGCGGGTTCTTCAGAAGAGCCCTTGCAATGGCAATCCTACAAAATAGAAAAATAACACACTGTCAGTAAACAGTCAAATAAAAAAGTGGACATCCCCATTACGGTTCAAACCGATTGATCATCAAGACCCTGAAGTTCGGATCCCTGTGTGCATAAAGGGGGCCCATGTAAAGGTTTTTGAGCTTTGATGTTTTGTTTGCTACCTTTGCCTTTGCCCTCCAGAAACAGTTATGCCTCTCTCGCCGAGTACAGTGTTGTATCCCTATGGAAAAAAAACAACACAAGAATTAAGATCTAGACGCATCAGAGGCAAAGCGGGAGTCTTTGAGTTATAGGGGCAAGCGCGCGCGAAAATTCCCGCCAAAACCACAGGACCTTCAACGGCTCTTGACTAATGCAAATACCTGAGGAAACTGCTTTATAAATGTATCAGCATTGGATAGCTTGGCAGCCTCGTAAACCTGAAAAAATAGAGGGGAAATGGATTGTCTTAGTGTCAGCTTAAAGGTGTTAGGAATGTAGAAGAGCGTGACACAGCATGGCAGGTTACTGAATAACAATTCCCACTGAGCCAATCACAGAGCACAGGATTACTGATCATCCAAATAGAAATTGAGGCACGGCACGGTACAGTATAAAATGAAGGTATCTCCTGATTCGTCAAATAGGACGCTTGCACGATGGCGTCTTTGACCTCTACTACCCGACTCCCTTGCACACTTTCATTTGTTCAGTAAATTAGCACCAATTGTCTAATTATTCTCATGAGTTAATACAAATTTAAATAAAAAGGAAAACTCTCGAAGCATCTTGGTAGTGGGAGTCTAATAACCCCATCACGCAAACGTCCTATTTGTTACGGTCATTTACCATATTTACGATCACGATATGGAATTTGACATCCCGGTTCCACCAATTAGAGCACGCGAAGCCATTCGGGCTAATCTACTTGTCTTTTATCATAGCGATGATAAAAAGATGCATAAATATGCTATCAAGCTTTTTTCGTTACCTCCTCGTCTGTAGCGTTTGGTTTTCCATATCTGATATTCTCCATTATAGACGTAGCAAACAAGATCGGTTCCTATAACACATGAACGTTTTACGAACATTTCACTTAGAAATTGTGAGAGAAAAACAATTGACAGGCTGCACGCACACCCATGATATGCGCTCTCATATTTGCACTCGAAAAGGCCGTATTTGCAATCGGAAGTCACATCACAGTAAATAGATTTATTACACATTTAAGCTCGATATCCGTGAAATAAAGCCGTGAATAAAAACCATATCAGTGAAGTGATACGATATCACTTCACGGTAAACTGTAACTGTAACTTGACTACGATAGTAGTCAAGAGTGACGAGATAAATCTCTATTTAGTGTTTATTTCTATCAAATTCAAGATGAATTTTGTGCTTCTTACATTTTTAATTAAGCTTTAATATCTTGAATGATATTGAATTGGAAACGTATAATTCTTTAACATTTTGTAAGTCGGTTAAGGATATTTAAGACAATAAAACATTTTRTGTGTGTTATATATCGAGCCTAAATGTGTAATAAACAAATTATCACATGTTAAGACATGTGATAATCTCTATATATTCAATGCTGCTGAACCTCGGGACATGTAGCGAAGGAATGTGACAGCAATGGGCTGCAAAACTAACTGCAGTTACTACAATAAGCCTTAGAAGGTATTTTGTTTTTTGTTTCAAGAAAATCATAGACACCCCRGGGGTGGGGGACACACTGAAAGCAGGGGAGGATGGGCTAAGGAAGCCATAGACTCCTTCCCCAAACGTTCTGCGTAATATATTTTATATCATCCTACCTGATGTATATATCCAATAACTGCTCCTCTTATCCATGTGGGATCTAAATCCTTCACATCATGGCCATCAAGCTTGATTTTACCTTTACCTACTTCATAAAATCGCTCTAGCAAGGCAGCTACAGTAGACTTGCCCGACCCACTTGGACCACATAGAGCAACCATTTTACCCTTTTCAATAGACAAGGAGAAATTCTTCAAAACAACATGGCCTTTTCGAGTAGGGTAYGTGAAGGTGATGTTTTCGAATTCTACTTGTCCTTTGACATCAGACATGGGAAGTATTTTGCCTCCGGTGACTGGGATGGTCGGTTTAATGGCCATGTACTCAAAGACTCTGGCACCAGCACTCATTCCACGAATAATCTGACCAAATAGAACAGAGATACTACCAAGGGACCTATGTATGAAATAGCAAAACTGGAAATTCATGCCCCTATTTTAATAAGGTGCCACTCGGTTAGCTCAGTGAAAAAAAATTAAACCTTATTTAACGTGGAAAGTACAGCTAGTTTACAGTGTAGTATACAAATTAATAAACTGAAATAAAGAAATAATCAAAGAAACATAAAGTGGTTTAAGAATCCCAACTGGCAAGGAGGCAAACCAGTTGGCTATTTACAAGCATGGTCGAGAAACTGAATTTGAACTACTCAGAAATCAGGAGAAGAGAGACTGATGCTATGACCACTCGACCATGCTGCCTCAATGTAAGTAAGAGTGTTGATCTGTTGTTTGGGAGGTAGTGATTCAATCCTTGGCCAGACCTGCACACAGGGTCTTAAATAACTGAGAAGGTGCTTCCTTTGTTATTACATCTGCAAAATGGTAAGACCTTCACGTGGCTCCTATGACTGTGTTAATAGCAGTCCCATCCCTAATTAACTAAAGACGTTAAAGGTATTGCCAAATGGCAATAAAAATGATATCAAGCTCTTGATGTGTGATAATCTCAATATATTCTGTAGATACCTACCTTTGTATTGTCTGTGTAGCTACTAAAAAGCTCATGAGATCCCCAGGCCTGAGTTCCCTAACAGCCAGCATTGATCCACCGGCATATAACACAACCAGTGCGAGACCATTGATAGCTAAGTTAGCACCTCCTTGAAAAGCACCAATACCAAAACCTAGCAGCTCATTTAACATCTTTGATTTGCCCACCTCTTTTGAGTATAAACTAAAATACAACATGGGACATGTCAATTAACCTCCTATATGCAGACAAGTCTATTCTCTACTTTCACATCCCCGTAATGCAATAATTATCAGTTTATTTCAAGTTATTTTTGTGTGTACAGATCATCAAGAGTTTTGGGTTACAGAAAATGTATTGACTTACGAAAAAGTTTTTAAAATTTACCTTAAACGTCTTCAAGCTTCTATCCTTTTCTGCTTTTTTTATTTTTTCATTTTATTTTTGGATACCAAAGGTATTGTCAACATTGTCTGATCAGCCTTCTCAGCAAAATAAGTGGGTCTTTACCCTCTGGTCACCCCCCAAAGAGGCAAAGTTTTATGAAGATGTGAAAGTAGAGAATTTGGGATTCTGTTGGTTATAATTGGGATTCCTGTGGTGAGATAGGCTCATTTGATCCACAGGGCCCCAAATGTTTTAACCCCCTTCCCCCCCCCCTCCCCCCTCCAAATATATAGTACTTTGTCGTAAAGGTTTTTGTAGGTTGGATTCATATTATGAAACTTAAATTGACTCATCAACCTTTAAAAATAATTTTACATTTTCCTTAGCTTTCAACCGACACGGTCATCCTCAGAGGAACTAAAATATAAAATTATTTTTAATGGTTGATGAGTCAATTTAAGTTTCATCGTATAGTACTTTGTTCATGTAGTAGAGGCTCTAGAGGCACAAAGAAACAAATAAATAACTTACTCTGTTTCTTTCTCTTCCATTGCAAATGCTCTCACAGTTCTCAYGTTACCAAGTGCCTCGTCAGCCACAGCTGTTGCCTTGGCAACCTGTTCTTGTGCCCTCCTTGACAAACGCCGCAGCAAGGAGCCAAATAATGTCCCAAATATTATGACGGTAGGGAGGACTATTGCTATAACACCAGTTAACTTGGGTGAGATGTAATACATTGTAGCCATGCAGCCAATCACTTGGGTCGTACTCTTAAGACCCTGGGATATGCACTGCTTGAATGAACTCTTGAAATCTTGAACGTCAGCTGTCAACCTGGCAATGAACAACAACCAGATTATAATTGATATATTAATTTTTACACTTTTTTATTAAATGATAAACAATAAACACTGATTTTATCAAACTCTGAAACAATATGAAAACACAGCTAACTAACAGATCAACGTGTTGTGAACATGTTGTGTAGAGAGAGTCTTACACGAAACAAACCGTTGAAGGTCTCCAGTAACCTTAAGTAAACACATGTTTGTCTGTAGTCATAATACTGATAAAAACCTCAAGATTACCTGTTGATTAATTCCCCAGTTTTGTGCACATCAAAAAAAGAAATATCCTGTCGTATAAGTGATGCAAACAATGCTGTCCTCATTCTCTCAGCCAGTCGTTCTCCCAAACATGACAACATTGAAATATACACAAAAGTTAAGCCTGCCTGTGCCATATAAAGTCCAAACAATTGTGCAACAGGCATTTTTAGCACTTCGAAATAATCCCTTGCATGGTCCTCTGATGCTAAATTTGACACAACGTTCACAAGGTTGCCTAGCAATAGAGGAAGGTGTATGTTCGTCATGGCAACAGCAAAGGCACTCAGGCTTGCTAATATTAAAAGCCAAATATCAGGAAGAATGATTTTGAAGAACAGTTTGAAATCAAAGCTAGGTGGAGTTTTAGCTTCCTCAGTTATCTCAGTATCTTTTGCTTTTGAAAGAGCCACATTTTTATGGCTTAATTTCAAGCCACAATGAGCAACTGGAAAAAGTCCTTTAGTCTTTATCGCAGCTGCAACACCAATAGCACTGAATAAAATCTGCTGGTGACTCTTATTTTCAAGCTTTGCAAATGATTTGAGTTTGTTGAGGCTGAGTGTTTTTCTGATAAAATTGGTGAAGGTAGATGTCAAAGGCTTGTAGGAACTGCAAAAGAAAAGACCAAAAAAAGAAATTAACATATGAACAGAGATCAAAATAATGCAGAAACAATGAATGTTTATGCAAGATACCACAAAATGCATTTGTCCCAGGACCCACTTCACTCGTTACAAGGGCGTCCTAAATATTCATTGGCAACCCACAACACAATGCTTGAGACCCAAAAATGTCCCAGGACTTACTTCACTATATCTAATACTAAGTGTCTACAAGGGCTTAATCCTAAAATTAGGAGTGGTCTGGACAAGCAGCATTTTGCATCTATTATTGGTATTGATTTGTCCAAGGCATTTGACAGCTTGCCACATGACTTACTTCTAGCTAAACTTGCTGCTTATGGTTTATCCTTTAATAGTTGTTCACTTATAGGGAATTATCTTACAGATCGTTTTCAGAGAGTTAAATTGGGTGACCAGTTTTCTGATTGGAGCCCACTTATCAGAGGAATTCCTCAAGGGTCTGTATTAGGCCCTCTCCTCTTCAATATTTTCCTCAATGATTTGTTATTATCTGAGCTTCAGTCTAAGGTTAGTTCATATGCTGATGATA